CCCCCATAAACGTCAGATTTCAGGAACTTCAGGGACGATACGCCACTAGAACGATGAGCAGCAACAACACCGCTGCAATCGACACACTAACAACATCATGGACTACCCGACGAGGATCCAGAAGGATACTAAGGAATAAGCTCCCGTTTCCCCCAGCCAGACTCCTGGGAGCGATGGAAGACAAGACGGAGCAAATCCAAGATATCCTGGAGGATTACCCGCTGGCCTTCAGATAGTGAACAAAAGCGACCCGTAGGAACCTGAAACCAGCGGAAACCACCGCCAATAACCTACCAACACCCCCCGAGAGCTAAAAAACCAGACAACTGCAAAGGACAAGGACAACCCAATACACAACTTCACTACGGAACAAGACCACAGCAACGACACGGACATCCGAATTAGCATTTAGTTGAGATAGTTAAGATAATAAGTAATCAATAAAATGTAACCAAAACCATCAATTAACACTGCCCTGAAGAGGCATAAGCCTATAGCGGGGCACCATAGATTGTAACACAAAAACAAAATGTAAACCAAAACAAAAAGAAATAATAAACGTTGATTCATTCATTCATTCCCTCCACTCACTGGGAATATACCTCAGAGCTAGAGAGGCTCTGAATATTCCAAACAGGTGCGGCATAAGAATGTCCAGTCCCCACTGAAGTAGGGCTGGTCTTATACCGTCAGGTCCTGGTGACTTGAAGGGGGAAAAGCCCGATATAGCCCATCTTATTTTGTCCTCATCAATTACTGCACTAGCAGATAGCCAGTGCTATTTGTAAGGGTGTTGTTGGAACATCCGTTCAGTTCGACGTTCCAGGAAAGACAGAACCTAGGAAGTGAGTTTCCATAAGAATCTCAGCACTATTTTGGAGGTTGGCGGCTTTGTCGCCAGTTTTTCTCGTCAGGATGCCGATACTCTTATGGTGGTCATTTGAGAGTGCCTTCTTTCTGTATTTGAAGAGTATTTAAAGAGAGACATCCAGATCGTCCTCGTATTAGCTGCGGTACGGTAAATAAAATAAATAAAATATTCAATGAAACTGGCGCAGATATCAAAAATGATGTTAAAAAGTAATCCTGTACAAAGACGAAACAGGAATGACAGGAATGATCAAATCATTTTAGATTATTTCGGAAATAATCCTAATGCCAGTATAAGGAATGCCACTTTAGATTTGAATATTCCACGAGAAACTATTCGGAGATGTCTCAAGGCGAANATCGCTCTTGGTGGAATCAAATCTGCCAAGTCACTTGAACACTTCCCGTGAAAGTATCTATAGAAGAGAGACAAATCTCCAACTTTTCTTCGATATTCCATGCTATCATTCTAGAAAGTGTCTGCGCAGTTCGAGAGAAGATCTGGATATTTCATCCATTTTTTCTCCGCTTTTTGGACAATACAAGTATTTGTCTCACCTGGAGCTGAAAACTCGTCGATTTTTTACTTGCATCGCAGAGGAGGACAACATCAGGCTTATTCGCTTATATCACCCCGTGGGTGAGTAATAAATAGTTTCAATAAATTCGGGACTTCTCATTCTTCACAACGGATTTTATCTCCCCCGAAGGCAACACCGGTGTCTCGTCAATATCTTAGGAGCAGTGAGGCACCTCAAGGAGGCCCTGCACCTGTTGTCAAGGACCTCTATATCCACCATGCGACCACGGTAGACTCAGTTATTGGAGACACCATCCTGGCAGGCCAAGGTTAACCCCTAAGTTTTCACTCGACCTAATAAGGAAAGCAAAGGTCAGATACTTTGATGAGCCGAGGAATGTTGTTGCATCGATTTATCCCAAAATAATCGCAGAAATAAAGTGATCTCTGCGACTTTGATGAGAGATTTTTGCTGAATGGCTACCGTGGGAGTGCCGAAGATGATAATATAGCACTAGCAATGCCATGTTATGTCGATGGATATAGGCTGGAATCGCCTATACTGGACATGCCGGCAGCAAGTGCATTAAGTTAGGTTAGATTAGGTTAGGTTATGTTGGGTTAGGTCACAGCAGCTCCTGTACCTGGCGACCGCGACCTCTATATCGATTCGACCTACTGAATCGGCAATGCGATTACCTTTACTTCTGTCGTGCCCTTTAATCCACCTCAGGATAATGTTATTATTCACCAAGGCTTTGGCTAAATCTTGGTGGCACTCTAGTACTAGCCCTGAGATGTTATGATGAGCCGAGACCATCAATGTTGTTATTGTTGTTTGACATAAATATTTTTGTCAAAGCTTGACATAACTTAAACGCATTTACATATTGAAGCTATTTAAGTGAAATCGTGTATTGCAGGAGCAGCTGAATACCGTAGGAACATACACAGCTTCAACGTGTAAAAACTTCAAGCAAAAGTTAACTTATAAAAAAATCGAAAATAATAATATCCTCGAGAATAAATTGAAAATGTAATAAGTGTAAACAACTGCCATATGCAGTTGTTTTGCTATATTTTATTACTGATGATGGGAGATGCTACTTATTGAAAGCTTAAATATTCACAGTGATAAACCAGTAGAGTAGTGAACTCTTATGTTCGAAACAGACTGGCGTACGAGCAAATTATTCGGTCGTTGTTGAAATACATTTCCCTTCAAGGACTTCTCGGGTGAAGATGTGGCTGCGAACCAGTGTTGCGAATGACCTGTTGCCAGGATCGTGGGTAATTAGAGGTTCTTCCTGGCAATTGTGTAACAAAATTTATTACAGGTAATTACCGGGTAATCGAGCTCACGATAAGCTGAACAACAATTAAATTTAAAACCCAGTCACTACTTAACCCTTATCAAATCTGATCGTTCGCTATAGTGTGCTAGGTATATTGAATTGGCGCTAATAAACTTGTTAGTGCTACTCGCACTTTTTACACCAAATTGGCAGTTGAGGACTAGTGCATATTCAGTCTTTGAAGGATAGAAATAGGTACACTAATTGTGCACGAGTCCTGGAAGTCTCCTAAATAATTTGCTGTTGCATTTTTTCAATAGGCAAGTTCAACTATTTCGCAATCTGTTCACTCACGGTTTCTGAACTAATTTTCCGAATTGAGCCTTGACAAGTAAAATCATAGGTATCGAACATTTCGTATCAATTGACGGGGAGATTGACTTTCGAAGCATCACATTTCTTGCTTTTAACATACATTTTCATCTGAAAACGCCGACTGTTTGAAAAAGTTCTGCCAAAAACCGGATGATTTCAGACACACTTGTGGGGTAATTTGACGATTCATATTTGGTAACACTGCTGTAATTGTTGTGTACCTTCCGCGTCATTTCCATATGTAAACAAACGGTCCAATGCACATAGTGTGTAAAAGCCAAATGGAATAAATTATTTCGGCTACGGTACATATTTTAACCAAATCCCTTAACAAGTCAAATTTAATTTATAAAACTAAACTTTCAGATTTGAATGACATAAAAGAACTAATAACGCTTGCAATTAGGTAGGTCACGCCTGATATGTTAAATAAAGTTAGAAGAAGAATAAAGTTATTTGAGATTACGATGTTGATAAGACGTCCGCTGTGAACATTTTGAACATCTACCTTGTTAATATCCATTGTTCTTTTTCGTATTCCACATTTAATTACTTTTTGTATTACATTTTAGTTTTTGAGTGTATTTTATCGAATTTCGGTAACTACATGATTTTAATTAATTTTATCTTAATTGTTGCAATAAACTTGGAAGCGATGAGATTTTTGAATAGAGAAAGAAGAGACCTTCCAAACGATATATCACAAACCTATACTTCCCATTAAAAAATGGGGGGTTGTTCCTGCATTCGAAGGGGGTTGAAGGTAGGGGTGACATTTTTAGGTTGAAATTATAATTCACTTTCAACGTGTTTAGGGATTTTTTTTATTAAGTACAGTAACCGAAGTAATAAATTTATTCAATTTGGCTTTTATGCACTATGTACGACCAATAGATTTTTCATCAAACTCACGGCTCCCTTTCCGAATACTCAGGCAGTAAACTCAGATTTTCATATAACTTTGAAAAAAAACTTTGGCATTACATTCCAATATGACATTCACAACTTGTGTACACTCATTTCAGAAAATAGCCTTGATTTCTTCAATGCAATTTGTGTTTTGCAAAAACTGAAAACATATTTTTTGTGACATGTTGCCCATATCACATTTGATTCCACGATAGACAATAATAGGCAATCAAGAGTAATATAGGAGTTAAGACTAATATTTTCAACGCAATCTCAAAACCAATATATATTTCATCACTCTGTATATTATTTCCTTCAATTCCATAAACACTTCCAGAAAATTTTGTAGAATCTGCATGAAAGTGAAGGCAATTGTTGTAATGTACCAAATGTAATTGTTATAACTAGATTTTGAATTTCATCACAACGCTTAATGAAATCATTAATCATCCATTACTATGGTCTTTAATGCAAATATTGTTGAGATAACTGAAATCAAATTCAAGTAACAAGTACTTGTTTTTTTCTATTTGTTTCAAAGTCAATTCAAATGATTATCTTCAAAATCAAAGCTGTTTCAGAAAAGAGGAAATTATTTTCCAATTTTAATGTCAGGACTCTGAAGTTAATTTATTGAAAAAATAAAAGTCAATTCAAATAAAAATACTAAAAAACAAATAAGTTTTGTTGTATGAATTGTTGTCGACTACAAAAAATATTTTTATTTCCAATTGCTCTTTTGTATCACATAATCACAAATTCCAAAAACCACCACATGGATTGTTCGTGTCACTGAAATGAAATTTTACAGCAAAAATAGACAACTTTCAAACCTTTTCCAGACAATTTTTTGCATTCGAACATTTTGCAAATATTAAGTTCTCTCATCATTAATAGAAAAACTCAAAAACCTTGGTATGAGATGCATCATTATTTTATCTTTTCAGAATTTGAAAGGTAAATTAATATCACCGCTAAAGACAAATGGTTCTAATCTCAGTTTTTGAAAATATATAAAGAAAATAACTTACAGTAAAAATTTTTCGACCAGTAGATAAATTCCCGAGTGTAACACAACTACGAAAGTAAAAGTATTTTATTAACTAACACTAATGATCCTTACGGAACAACTGCATCAGCATAATATAATAGGTAATGGTTATAATGCCATTTTCGAGTAAAACCAGTGGGGGGAAGAAATTGAAAATGATCCTCAGATAATGAAATATAGCTGCGTACTCGCGAAACAGAAGACAAAGCAATATTCTTTTCACGCGTTCTTTCCGCGTCTCTCTACTGGGTGATGCATGTTTATCCTAAGCATACAATGTTTGATTATATCTGAAATGGTCCTGAAAGTGATATTTTGAATAGAAATACGGAATCTTCACCTCTTCCAACACTCCTACACAATAGGTTCTGTCAAATTCCTGTCGAAAAACAAATACTTCGTCTGTGAAAAAAAATCGTGTTGGATATTTTCCAATGTTCTTCGAGATATTTGCGGAAGAAATAGTTGTTTTCGGATAGACACTTGCCAGATCTCTGTTGTACAGGCACTTTGGAAAAAGTTAATGTGGCTAAATGCGCCGTACGAAAGCAAAGGCCAGTTAATGTTCAAATTTTTTTATCCCTTCTTGAAATTCGATACATCTGTCAAATACAGATCCCGAGCTTGAGAGTTACAAACAAACATACATACATACAGGTGAAGCTGATATAAAGTGTGTAAAAAAACTTCATACTTCAAAGAAATCCTTTGTAAAATTCATTATTTTTCAATATTTTTATTTCTTTCATGACGAAGCAAAGTATGTAATTGTGTTTTATCTAAATAAACATAAATATAGTGTTGAAGTTTGTCCACAGCATCAAACTCTTTCAAATAGATAAGTGAGGTTAGAGAAACAACAGTGTAGGGCAAAAGTTTACATTCAACGTTTGAAATTACATAAATGAATTTAACAAAATAATGGAAGGACAAAATGTACATGAAAATATATCAATTTCAATACTTTCTGATAAGGAAGACAATAGTGTTGCGTCACTTTTCGGCAAGAGGCCAGTACCATTTTTTTCAAATAGAAAGGGGGATCATAAAATAATTTGTTTGATATGTATCTCAATTATTTATCCAACACTGTTTTATATTTGGGAATCGAATCAGCCGTTCGAGAGTGATTAAAAGTTTCATATTTGTTTTAAGAACCTGCAAACAAAGAAATATCATAATTTCAAGAAAAATGTATACAAAACTCACACCAGTTTATCCCAATGAATATTCACAATGTTTGCCATTCACTTTCTGACAATAACGAACTTAAACATATTTTCAAACCTAAATGTTCACCAAAACTAGTCTGATTTTGTATCTTCATCATTGTTGGAGAATATTTTTTTGCCTGGAACTAGCAGTGGTTTACTTCTTCTCGTCAACTGAATGAAATATCTACTCATCTATTTTCTTGGTTACCAAGTATGGAGATTTTCATTTTCTGATATAAGCACACTTGTATCTCCTCACTTGAAATCTGTATTCGTAGCTTTCCTGTCTAACATCTTCTTCATCTTGTCGCTGGTTGTCTATAAACGTTGCATCGTGAGTTCATGAACTTTCGACACTCGCTCCCTGATTCTCTCGACAATCTATGTTTGTCCATTCTGGATATTATTATTGGGTGGCAACTCAAATAGTAGATCTAAGGATAGTCTCATGTCTCATCTACTTTCCAGCTATCAGAATCGATAGAGACACACCTGTCGTTTTTCTATGCTAGAAAAAATAATAGTTGCAGCTGGTCCCAATATTTCGGGTTCGTCTGAAATTAACGTAAATAGGTTCTGGCAAATTATTTTGTGATGACATTCTACTATTCCACCTGAGTCTAGCTGAAGTGGGATCGTCTTGATTCCTAATGTTTGCATCAATTATTTCCACAACACTCACTCAAAATGTATTCTTCCTCAGTTGGAGTATAATTTTAAAGATGCTCTTTGTCTGACACCTACATTGTTAAGAAACGCCTCTTCTTCTGTTCCAGTCTTTTGATTCGAGATATGGAGAATTTGAGGTTATTTTGAAAATAATCACTACCATCAAGTATTTGTTGCCGTTATCGGCCACAGGAAAATGTTCTAGACTTTCTACTGCGGCTCTATCGACGGATGATTTCACCAGATGTTGGGACATTTATTTTGTTTATTGTGGGGCTCATTCTCGAAGAGTAAATATCACATCGAGAATGGGCACCACCATAAGTAACCGAGGGAAAATAACCCAACATCTTTCGAAAGAGTCACAAGAAACGTAGCAGAACATTGTTCTACAACTGATAAGGACAACAAATAACTGATGGTAGAAATCGATTATTTCTTGAAATAACCTCAATTTTCCTTTTCTAAAGCAAAAGGCTGCTACAGTAGAAGAGGCGTTCCTTAACAATGTATTTGTCATACCCATAGTCTGAAAAATATCCATATTCAGACCCCATTTACATCAGTTTCGGATAAAACAAAGATCATAACAAGCTGAAATTCCTTCAACTACTATATACTATACTACTATAGAGAAGCGCAGCCCACGAAACGACATATTTGTCGTTTTGTGACTACCAAATGTTGGATGTTTCAATGTTTTGCGTTATTTAGGTCTTGTCGCTACTGGTAAGTAGATATTATCGAGTTGGTCTTCTAGATTGCCCATCTGTTCGTCTGGTTCACTGTTCATTTCTTCCATGACCCGCTCAATTATTTTTTCAAACTTATCTCTTTTTANTATGTCCACCATGCGACCACGGTAGACTCAGTTATTGGAGACACCATCCTGGCAGGCCAAGGTTAACCCCTAAGTTTTCACTCGACCTAATAAGGAAAGCAAAGTTCAGATACTTTGATGAGCCGAGGAATGTTGTTGCATCGGTTTATCCCAAAATAATCGCAGAAATAAAGTGATCTCTGCGACTTTCATGAGGGATTTTTGCTGAATGGATAGCGTAGGAGTGCCGAAATAGCACTCGCAATGCCATGTTATGTCGATGGATATAGGCAGCAAGTGCGTTAGGTTAGATTAGATTAGGTTAGGTTATGTTGGGTTAGGTCACAGCAGCTCCTGTACCTGGCGACCGCGACCTCTATATTGATTCGACCTAAGGAACGCAAAGAAAAGATGTTCTGTATCTGTAGAGTAGGGAGGGTGAGTTTAAGTCCACCGCACTTAGGCCACATGTGACCCATTGTACATCCTCCCGAGGGGTTGTCCTCATAGGTCATCGTCCATCCTGTCCTTTCCGAAAAGGTGAACAGGTCACTGGGAGACATCTGCCTTATATCAGGCAGGTGTAGGCCAAGACTCGCCGAACACACAGTCTCTTATTGACGATAAGTCCGGACACTCGCATAGAACATGCCTGACAGTTTCACCTTCCTGTTTACACATCCTGCATAGAGTCCCATATTATGGAGGTGTTCCCTTAGTGGTAAGTGGCCAGTCAGAAATCCTACTGTTAAGCGTAGATTTTTCCTGGTCATCGCCAGAAATTTCTTCGGCGCCAGGTTCCTAGAGTCGTGCAGGGTGATCCTGACAAGATTGCATCCTTTGATTTCATCCCATCTCTTTAGGGATTGAGCATGGGTGTAACGTTTGGCTAGTTCCGCAATTGTCGAAGTCAGTCAGGCCGTAGGTGCCACTGGGTCCTAAAAGTCTTAGTCCAGCCGCTTTCTTGGCTAAAGAGTCGGCAATGCGATTACCGTTACTCCTGTCGTGCCCTTTAACCCACCTCAGGATAATGTTATTATCTAACGAGGCTTTGGCTAAATCTTGGTGGCACTCTAGTACTAGCCCTGAGGAAGAACAGACGTTAAGATGAGCCGAGACCATCAATGTTGTTATTGTTGTTTGACATAAATATTTTTGTCAAAGCTTGACATAACTTAAACGCATTTACATATTGAAGCTAAATCACTAGAACTAACTTCTTATCACTATGGAAATAGACTTAGGTACAGATTAATATACGTTTTATTGTCGGAATCGCCGTGTAGACCATATAATTAATATTTTCAGAGCTCTGTGAACATACGTCGTACTCGTCGTACTGACGACGTCATAGGAAAGTAGCGACATTAATTTGACAGATTCCAACATATAGGAACATTGGAGGCGATGTATGATTCGAATTTCAGTTGGAAACATTTTTTTTTGTACTTATACAGTGTCACCGATAAAGTCCGCATCAAATGGGAAACTTTTTTATTTATCGTTTTATGTGAAATTTGATTTTGGCAGTAGATTTTGCTTAAGAAATGATGTCAAATGGCGTCTACAAAATAGGTCACGTGATTTCCTTAACCTGTCAAAATTGACATTTAAAAAAAGAAACATCGAAAAATGACATTATTCTTCAAAATATCCAAAAATATCAAAGGAT